GTTGCAGGGGGATGTTGTGGCCCAAGTGCAGGACCTGGCACTTTGCCTTGTTGAACCTCAGGGATCCCATGGATCCTGCCTATCCAGATCTCTCTGCAGAAAAAGCTCTGCTGGCTTCTCCTGGTCCTCTCATAAGAGATGGCAGAGCTCTGAACTGGTCATTCGGGCTGGCATGCACAAAACCCTGGAAAAATCTTCTCTTGGGTGAATTTGCTGGGAATTTGGGCGAATCCACTCTTCAGTGGAAAGGGAGAATTGCCAGAAAATGGTCCTGCAAAGCCCAAGCTGTTTCTTTAAGCTTTTTGGGTTCTTTCCTGTCTTTCCAAAGGTTGGGGCTTGTGGTTTCAACAGTCGGATCTTGCCCAGCTTTTATCCCATTCAGTTGGTGAAGGTCAATGAGGACACGATGGAGCTGATGCGGGATTCCCAGGGGCTGTGTATTCCCTGTCGCCCAGGTGAGCATCCACCCAAACCGATCAATCCTGGGGGTTGGTTCTATAATAATCATGGAGTCGTGGAATGGTTTGGGAAGGGACCTTAAGGCTCATCCAGTTCCAGGGGCAGGGACACCTTCCCCTAGAGCAGGTTGCTCCAAGCCCCTGTGTCCAACCTGGCCTTGAACCCTGCCAGGGGTGGGGCAGTCCTTCTCCTCAGCCCTCTGAGCTTAGGCTTGCCCTGACCCGGGAGCAGGACCTTGCCCTTGTTGAACTTCATGAGGTTCCCACCTCTCCAGCCACCCAGGTCCCTCTGGATCCATCCCTTCCCTGAAGCGTGTTGACAGTGGCTGGTTTAAGGGGTTTCTCAGGTCAACCCCAGGGTTTCAGTTCCAGCTTTCCTCCAAAGCTGGATGAGTTCAGCACCAGAACATCTCTTGGCGTGTCCCAAGTGGAGCTCGTTGTGCAAGGTTGGGGTCACCTCTGCTGCTCCTGTTCCCTGCAGGAGAGCCGGGATTGCTCGTGGGGCAGATAAACCAGCGGGATCCCCTGCGCCGCTTCGACGGCTACGTCAACGAGAGCGCCACCAGCAAGAAGATCGCTTCCAACGTGCTCCGGAAGGGAGACCAGGCCTACCTGTCAGGTACATGCTGCTGGCATTCCAGCTCTCCAGGCGCCTCAGTCTGGGATTTAACCCTTCACAAGAGGAAAGGGGTGTTCTTTCCCCCGTCCTTTTCCTCCTGCTGTAACGTGGAGATGCAGCATGAGGTGGTGGGAAGTCACCGAGGGAAGAAAACAGCAGAGCACTGAGCAGAGGGTGGTGAGGCAGCCCCGAGCACTATGAACTTGAGCCCTGAGGTGGGTTTTGGTGTCTCCTCTCCCCTTCCCAGGAGATGTTTTGGTGATGGATGACCTGGGATACATGTACTTCCGAGACCGCAGCGGGGACACCTTCCGATGGCGCGGGGAGAACGTCTCCACCACCGAGGTGGAAGGAACGTTGAGCCGCGTCCTCAACCAGACGGATGTTGCGGTGTATGGAGTGGAAGTCCCAGGTGAAACATTAGGCAAACACACCAGATGGGTGTCGGAACGGGTGGAAATCAGTCACCTCTGTTGTAACCAGGACCCCCCAGTGATAAAGTCAAAGGGTGGAGTTGGACACGTTTATCCCGAGCAGTAGAAATCCAGTGGCACGATCTTGATTTGTATCTTAAAAAGGAAGATTCATGAGCTTTGCAGAAGCTCTTGGTGTGAAGAGACCTTTCTGTGCATGTGCAGGCCTGGAAATCCTCAAGGATTGCATTCCCACCCAGGAGCGGGGGTTGAGGGGGGACAGGGATGGGGCTGAGCAGAGTTTGGACCTTCACTGGGTTTTCCTCTGCCTTTCACCTGGAGGAGCCACGGCCTGTGCTTGCCTCTGTTAAAGGTTTCCCACTTGTGTGGCCTCAGTTTGAGCTGTGCTCTTCTGTTCCAGGGGTGGAGGGCAAAGCTGGGATGGCAGCGATCGCAGATCCCAAAGCCAAGGTCAGCCCCAACGTCCTCTACCAAGAGCTGCAGAAGGTGTTGCCTCCTTACGCCCGGCCCATCTTTCTCCGCCTCCTGCCCCAGGTTGACACCACAGGTATCGCTGATCCGGCTGCTCTCCGGGGACCTTCAGATCCCAGAGGGACCTTGGAAGCATTTCAGGGCAAAATAACATCCCAACGTGGAGTACAGCAGGTGTATTCCTGCTACCAGTAGAGACAATGGTTGTAGTTAAGTCTTAAACCAAGAAATGAGCAAGTTCCAGGCTCTTAGAGAAAAGATCATGGAATCGTGGAATGGTTTGGGATGAAGGGACCTGAAAGCTCCTCCAGCTCCAACCCCTGCCCCGGGCAGGGACACCTTCCACTAGAGACGGTTGCTCCAAGCCCAGCTGCA